GTGAGTAGAAACACCTTTTTTATTTTCCCCAAGACCCAGCCTGTTTACCCTTCTCTGAACTGCTGACCATAAAATATAGACAAGCATCTTCTGCTGGAAGATAATAAACATCTGAAGAGTTTTTGTACTGAGAAAGCAATAATACACTTTTTCTCTTCTCCTTTGCCTGCTACTTTGCTTGTCCTTTAGCTTCCTAGTCCTAAAAATATTTGTTTTTTTTTTTTACTAGTTCACCTCATTGAAAGATCTCATCATGGATTCTATTTCTTAGACGGTATTCATTGAATTAAAGGGGGAAAGAACCATAAAAATTAGTAATAATCCGTTGTTTTCAAATATTTGAATTATCTACAGTTCACAAGCATACTAGCCACAGTATCTTCCACTATCATTTTTCTGCTGTTGCTAAAATATTTACGCATGTCAGATGAAACTAAAAACAGCTTAGTGCACATTTCTTGAAAAACAGTTTAGCTGTAATATCCATAAGCCCTTCTTTTGACTTACTTGAAATATGTAAATATCTACATAAAACAATTTAGTTGTTGAATTCTCTGGTTTCTTTTCATTGTGATTTTAGGTGAAATAAAAACAGAAAATGTATTTGGATGTGGAATCCATCTGACCTAACAATATCACCAAGTCAGTCTACTTATAGTGCTCAAATAGTTTCAGTAATTCGGCATAGTCCTACTACTCATTTTTTCAGTGTGTTAGATTACATTTCCTGAGCAATTTTAATTGTACATTATATAATGTAATATAATACTAGTTCAAAGTTGTCCTTTACAACATAGCATATTGAAAATGTTACAGAAAGACAGTGAAAAAAAGAGCAAAGTTTTTATAAAGTATTTCTTCTCACAACTTTCATCATAGAGAAATAAAATGCAAACCAGCAAATAGACTTAAACTAACAACCCGTAACAGGCCCAAGAAGCTAGAAATAATCAGGTGATTTATTTTCACATTTTTTAACGTATTTAACTTGTTTCAGAGTCTTTAGTAGAAAACTGATTTCTCAACTATTCCTCAAATCCCAAATTTCATATATATCATAATTGTTACAGATGTTCTTCACTTTAATATAATGTGCTCCTGTAACAGCTTTTTTACCCTAATTAATATGAAATCTATACAACCTAAATAATTAGAGTGTCTTGTATGTTTCAAGATTACTTTGTAACTATGTACTAATATTTTTGTGGTCATTATTTTTGTTCTGTAGTATCTTGATAATTTTGGTACATTGCATTTCTTTTAACTTTTCCTCAAATTTAGAAAATTCCAATCAGAACTTCAAATATGGAAAGTACTATTTGTACATCACTCTCTATTGTTTTCTTCTTCCTTTAATAAGTTACTGAAGGATAGGAATTGGTTTCATTGTAACAAAAAAAATTTGATCGTTTATTTCATATTTAGCTTTTCAGAAGGTCAAATTTAAGAGCATGTGTATATATGAATGTGCTGTGTATATGTCAGTCCTATCTAAAGTAAATTTTAGTTAATTGTTTCAATTATCTTCTGTGTTTATGGGCAGTATCCAAATGTATGCCAGTAAGCGGTGTTCATGCTTACTAAGAGCAAGATGCACGGTGATTTTAGTCATCTTCAGCCCTTTTCCTAGGCGATGGACTGCCATCTATTGACTCATAGTGGCCCTCACACATGAATGTGGCATCCGTCAGAGCAAAGACCAAGTAAGCATAGGTTAGAATTGCTACTGTGTGCTCAGTTCAGCCAATCTGCATAAAACTCTGAAACTTTCTATGCTTAATGCTGCATTAGTTTATTTTTCTAATCAAAAAAATGTTCACTTCTTACTCCAAACCAACAATGCTATGTTGGGGTGTGGGAGAGACTCACTAGGATTTTCTTATTAGGGTGCTTTTCAGTTGCTTTTATCGGCTTCCCAAACTGTAAAATGATCATTTACAGAGCAATTTAAATATTACCAGCTGCCTGTTAAGGTCTATCCAAGAATCATCATCCTAAAAAATGAAAGTGTATAAGTTAAACAATAATATTTCTCAAACATGTGAAAATGGTACTGAAGTTGATTTGTATAAATGGACTAATGTTCTCAATTAAAAATTCCTTTAAAATTACTCAATTAATAAAAAAATTTTTGAAGTGTTCACTATTTTCAGCAATATCATGAGAAATAAAATGAAGTTTTTAAACAACCTGTATCCAAGTAAAATAACCAAATTTGATTTGACTATATTAATAAAAACTAAGCTATCATTGTAAAGGGTACAAACTGACAAAAGCTCTGAAATACTATACATATAGTCATAATAATGATTATATATGGCTCTACCATTTTTATTTTAATACCTATAAAACCATATAATTTAATTTCTGTAGATATTGGAGATCTGCATGAGATCATTTTAGTTTAGCTATTGAATAATTTCTCATAGTTAATATCTTTATCATCTTCAAAAATATTTGAAATTTTTTAAATCTTTAATAACGTAACACTATTGTTGTATTTTAAATTGTTATCTTTTCAGATTTTGATAAACCCTTACTTTGTTCTTCATCTTTCAAGTCACTCATTGTTGACAAAAAATTTCTCTCTGTATTCAAGGAGCTTCCCCGCCCCCTATCTCCTGTCATTTCTGGTCTCATTTATATTAAAAATCCTAGGCCAGTATGGCCACCAACAGTTTTATAAACAAGAGAATTTTTATAGTAGAGGCTGTAATTTGACATGCATTGAATGTTTTTGTTAATCTTGTTTTTAATCTGCTTACTTAAGTAACCAGGAGTTTGCTATTTGGGAGTTGTATGTGTTAAGAACTAAAAAGGACAATGTGTCTTTTACGTTTAACTTTGCAGTTGGATTTCTCTGTGTGTATTATAAAAATATGTTGCAACCTACCTTTTATTTTAAATAAAGATTCAAGCAGGAAGCAAATATAACTCAGTTTTAAATATTTCTTCTTATGTAATGTTTGAAGTACCTAGAATTCATACTTGAAAAAATAGAAATTTTGTTGTCAGGGAAATTGGGAAACATAGACACGTGAGTGTCCTTGCCCTCCTTTCTGGCCTAATAAAAAGGGTTGTGACCAGAGTTTGTTAGTAATCAATAGCAGTCTTACCCAAACCAGTTGAAAGACAGAGTATAACTTATGAGCCAAAAATAATAGTATTCCATTTCATTTTGCCTCCTCCTTACCTGGAAACATCACTGAAAAATGCATTTTCTGCATCTACAAATTATGGAACTACAAGCCTTGCAATAAATGAGAATAGCGCTCCCTCAGGCATCCCATGCCAAACTGGAGTGGGTACTCTTAAATGTCAACAGATTTGGAATTTTAACTAGAAGCAAGTAGTCCACAAGGAAGGTATAGGAAGGTGGGTTTTAATTCTGAGGTTATTGATATACAGAAGTCTTTATCCTAGGTTGGTGATTTATTACAGGGTAGATAGCAATTTTCTCACTGACACTTAAATAGAAGCTTTTCTCTTAAAAAAAAAAAAGTCACTTAGACATATAAAGAGTTTCACAAAGTCAGCCTGAAGCTAAACTCTCCTTTTGTCTTAATTGGACACGTATGTGGGGAATCCTAAAACATTCTTTTCAGAGTTCCTTGAGTGCATAAGCACAACTGCAAAACCCACAAGGACCCCATCCACACAGGAGACACCTGCTAACAGAGCTGCTGTGTATGGGCATGCTTCTGGGTGTGTGCCTGAGTGTGTATGTGCTTATTTTGTGTGAGTGTTTGTAGAACTGGTTAGTTATTGTCTTTTTAAAATGTTGACTCCAAAAAGCATTTCAGGGTTTTGTAAAACATTTTCTTAACATTTTTGGAGGCCTGGCACAAAAGTTATCATGTGTGCCAGTCCTCAAAACTTCTAAGTTTGTTTCTGGAAACTCTTATTTTGGCGGTTCAATTCCCTTCACTGGTTTGCTCAAGAAACCAGGAATTCTCTTGCATAAGTTAGCTTTTCTTCTGTATAACTGCTCTTGCTATTTTGTTTATTTTGAAATTGGCCGCATGTTGTATCACGACATTACATTTGTATGTAACATTCAGAGATGTAGCTTTTATTAAAAATGCCTTTAACTGAAACATTATTAAGGTGAATGTGATTATGCTCTGAAGACTTAGAAAGCACATGACATTTTGTAGTACTTCAGAAACCTCCATGCAGTACACCACTGTAAAGTAAGTCAGGCTGTTTTATCTCTCAGGTTACTTGGTGTCTAAACAAACAGGAATTGTTTTGAAAAGCATTTATGACTGGTTTACTTTGTTCCATCTGTGATAACAGAGATGGAAAATGCATTTGGACAGTGACTACATTTTTAAAGATTATTAAAGGCAAAATTTTTGTGAATATTTAAATATCTGTTCTTAAAGAATACTGTTAAAATTTTACTTAAACCTTTTTTTTTTCAATTTTATTTGTAAGTTTACGATCTTTAAGAATAGGTTAACTGATTTTTTTTTAAAGCCTTTATTTCACTGGCATGTTGACCACATTTTGCCAGAATTTATTATTGGAAACAATTGGAAAATGCAATTTCAAGGCAAATGAAACCTGAAATTATCAATCTCAATAAATGAGATTCATTTAAAAATAAATACAACTTACCAAATCATCAAAAAGCAATTTCCTAAAGCTCCTATAAAGGAAAGGAAGAAAAAGTGAACATTGTGAATCATCAATGGATATATTATTTTTCTTCTTGTAATGTTTGCTCAGACATTCAGAAATTGGGATATATTTTTGAATGGGATAGAACAAGTTTTTTTAGATTATTGAAGCACATGGAAAAATATTAGCATTTTATTTTCAGAAAAATACTGGAGTGTCTACCCATCTGCAGAGAATACTCAGTTAATTGATTTTTCAATATTTTAATACAAAAATTAATTTGGTTTAAATGAGAAAACAATATGACACTTTGAGTAAGGTAATACATTTTGAGTAAGGTTTTTCCTGTATTAATATATTTAAATATCATCAAC